TTGTTCTCTTTTTCCGCAATATATTGAATGAACAACATAGCAGCGCTGCATCTAGTGGGTTCAACTGGATAAGCTATGAAAAACATTAAAATGCAACGACACTTACATCGTCATCGCGTCTCGTGCGCCACTGATTAAGCATCCTGACGCACACCTAAAATTGATTTGGATGTGGATTTTTATTTTAAATTTGACACTTATTCTAAATTTTGCGCATATTGTCAGTGAAGCACGGTTCTGTGATCAGTAATAAATTTCCATCCGAAGGCCAGGGGGCGCTCTCGCGCAGAAACTATAAATATGCCCGCAGAAGAAATCCAGGAAATCCCTATAGTGGTTGCTGAACAAACAGAAGATTTAAATGCTTTCATTGATTCAACGTGACAAATAAACAGGACTACGACAATATATGATTAATATGAGTTCCTATTATAATTATTATTATAATTTTCATTATAATAAAGTATATAATAATGCAATGCTAATCGACATAGCCTTTATCACTGCTTAAATACTATGAAATATGTTGCGTGCCTTATTCGGTGCAAGAAACCACATCATCTCACAGAAGGATTTATTTCAAACACTCGACTGACGTTATGAATCGAGTTAGGAGTAAAAACATGTTATTAAATGTGGTATTTTCACATGCTTTCAGATGGAGCAGCATTTACTACACAGAGCCGTAGTTCACGGAGAAAGCTACGCAAACAGCTTTCATTATTGTGAATGATTTTTTCGATTTCATAATCACACATTTATATCGTTTTTTTTTGGCGTAGCTTGTCAGTGAACTACGGCTCTGTGTAGTAAATGCTGCTCCATCTGAAAGCAGGTGATGGAGATTTACTACTAATCACAGAACCGGCTTTACTGACGAGATGCGCATGACAATTGAATTCAATTAATCGTACAGCCCTACAAGAAGATGTGGCAAAAAAAACAGCTAAAATGGCAGAAATGTGTTTTTAAAAAATGATAAAATAATAATATTCCAATGGCTGGAAACCTAAGGCTGGAATACAATGACTAGTGTCATTTAAATATGCAAAACTATTGTGAAAACACAGGCCCACTTCCTATTTGGCACCTTAACATTCATATCAAACACAAAGAGTTTAATATATCAAAAAGTTTTTTAATTATAACAACATTTAACTAACGTTGTGTTAAATTTATCTATCCCAAGTTTGAGCACGATCAGATGAAAGCTTGAAAAAGAATCTACGACGGAAATTGCTACTCCAGGCTGCATTTAATTAGAAGAGGAAAAAAATAATTACTTCTAGGCCACTTGGTTGAAAAGTTATTAACTAAAACGTAGTTGAGAAATTGAGCTGTTGGTGGCAGTTGAAGGAAAAAAAATCTCAATTTTAATAAGGCTGCAAATAAGAAGGCAGCGCAAACGTCATTTTCTCAGAGCTGTGAGCATGCCGTCAAATCTGCAATGACTTCTTATTCTTATTGACAGCACTGCGTTCGTGCTCTAAAGTGCTGGGCCCCCGAGGACGCTGGAGACGCTGTCAGTGCCAATTACACTCACATCTACATTATTGTACTTCCGGTCTCTTTAGACTGTTTCGTATTGATTTAAATCACAGATTAATGAACTGCCTGTGGGTTATGCATGTAGAGTAGAGTGGACATCCACTGTTACACTGACAGTAATGAAACATCCCAGCGCAGACGACACATCGTTCACACGTTAATAAGCGTCGTAATAAGGTGCCATTTAAAGGTCAGACGTGAGCAGACATCCCCGCTCAGGAAGGAAAATCCAAACCGCACAGACCGGAATGATAACAGTGTAAGAGAAACCGACGAGCAGTATCACTCCCTCAAGGCCTGCGCGAGAGGAACGCCAGTGACGCACTGCTATACTTCTGACTATCCACAGAGTCTGGACCAATTTACAGCTTGTTCTGGCCAAGAATCACCCACTTATACAAGAAGAGACTTGTTAAAGAGTTCATTTCTTCTGAGAACCACTCTTGAGTGGGTTAACTGGAAATTAATATTACAAAAATACACTGGAATTGTAAAAATTGACATTAAAATCAACAAACACAAATCTCTCAAAAATGAATATTTATATTAGTAAGCATTTCTGCCCATCCAGAGTAGTCTGGATATTTGCACGGATTTCACCAATTGGTTCAATCCCGATTCACAAGCTCCTGAATCGATTGGATTTGATTTTGATTCATTAAAGGCAAATATCAGGCACAGTACATGTGCATTTTTCTTAAGAAAAACAATCTCTCAACTAACGCTATAGACTATACTATGTCAGTTGGTGATAATATCAGTAATATTAAAGATTAAAATTAACAACCGAGTCCAAACTTCAAAGCTGAGACTTTGTTTGATACCAAAAGTGAAGCACAAAGCTTATTATGACTACTGCACACAAAAGATCAATCTTGGGTTTTAAAGGGGTGGTTGACTTTTTTTAACGTTAGTTAGTGTCTAATGTTGCTGTTTGAGCATAAACAATATCTGCAAAGTTACGAAGCTGAAAGTTCAATGCAAACGGAGATATCGTCTTTTAAAATTCTGGCAGTTTAATGCCTACAAAAACGGCTGGTCGGGACTACAACGAGCTACTTCCCGGGTTCGTGATGTAACAAACCCAGATAAACCCCGCCCTCAGGAAAAGGCAGCAAAGGGGGCGAGGCCATGCTGCGCAGCTTTAGAGAAGATGAAGAGAAAACTAGAGGTGCACGAAAAAATCTATTCCTAATGAATCGCGATTCTGTCTTCTAACGATTCTAATGGATTCACAAGTTTTAAAATCAATGTTCTAAAGCAGCGGTTCTCAATCCTGTTCCTCGCTTCTCTCTCGCTCTCATTCAGCTCAGCTCCAAAAATGAACCATTACAATTATACACTTATTTTCACATAGCTATGAGAAGCGTTAAACATGGACGCGCGTGCAGTTGCCGTACTGTATTAAAGCTTTAATCAGGATAAAACCTTATATTAAAAGCTAACATAAGCAGTAGCATTTACACACAACAGTGTATCTAGAAGAATGAGACAACAACAAACAACAAACATAGGCCTACCATTAAAAGCCGTGCTTGCACAGGTTCTGCACGATCCTCTTCAATAATATCCTCTGCTTCTCAATCGGACTCAAACTGATAAGCGATATTAACGACACTGTTGTTTACAATACAACCGGAGCACATGCCGCTGAGGTGAGGGGCGGGACTATTAGACGTGCACTAGAGGCGGTTTAGCCAATCACAACACGCTGGGCTAGCTAACCAATCAGAGCCCATCGTCTATTTCTGAGGGCGGGGCTTCTTAAAAACAGGAAAAGATCAGCCCGTTTCTCAGAGAAGGGACAGAGCGGTGTGGAATAAAGGCAAATTATGTGAAAAATAATGTGTTTTTTTAAAAACTAAGCATTAACACAGGTTAGACTGCACCCCATAAACACAATAAAGCATAGAAAAAAAAACAGTGAACCACCCCTTTAAGAATCGATATCAGTTCATTAAAATGAAGACAGATTAAAAAAAAAGAGAAATCAATACAGTCAACCCAGCCCTAATATTATTTACTCTAACTAAAACATTTTAATAAATGAAAAATGTCACACAGGGACATCCATTAAAATTTTGGAGTGATGAAGCAAACAAATCTGTGAATTAGAGTTTCGAATCGATTCGGTTTGAATTGACGGACAGTTTGAAATGATTGACGGAAATGAATCACTTACCAGCTCATTTTACAAAACCACATTTTTACTACTGATGGGATGCAATTAAAACATCTCAACTCTTTTTCACAGCCTGAACTCTGAAAACAAAGGAGAATAGGCCATTCAGATTGTAGATATCTAGCTTACTTGCTACCAAGTGCCTCTTAGCATCTTAAATGACACTAACCTTGCAAATTTGACCAAATATGGTGATTGCAACCAGCTCGTTTCTGTGCACAAATGCATCAGACGGTCAATAACCAGACTGTGGCCCTGCGATCTGAGGCTGAGGCGAGAAACTGTCACTGGAACCTATGTGTGATGTTCATCAGCTCACATCTACAAAACATGCCATATAATAATATCTGAACAGCTGTGGTCTTCACGTGCCAGAGGGACACCAGCCACATCTGCATGCATCTAATCAGCTGTCAGACAACTGTGATTTTCTGCTGGTTGTGCACGACTCTTATCTCTTCACGAGTGGCTTCTCTCATAACAGAGGTAATTTCCTTTTATAATCTTGCTCCTTTAAAAACAGGCTGATCATCTGTCATGCAGTGACTGGAAGGAAGGTGAACCGTGACTGATGTGTGTGTGCAACTCGCATTACTCAACTTAAGACACTTACTGCATGCACAAACACTCAAGAACGCATAAGGCTAACAAACATCCATGCATCCACACACTTTGACTACAAATAAGCACTCAAACAATACATGCATGCATGCATACACAAACTCTAAATACAAATAACACTGCGTGCATGAATATTTACACTCAAACATGTTACACAAAAAACAATGCATGAGCATGCACACACACACACACACATCAAGCACTCAAACCCACGCACTTTTGTGCGTGTACACACGCACACAAACAAACAAACACTATGCATAAATATAAGCATGCATGCATACAAAAAATAATTTAAACTCGTACAAACCCATGCACATTCGTACACACACTCAGAAACACACACATATGTACATGCAACCGCACGCACACTTGAGCAATGACAGCTCGAGCACAACTGCCTTGTCAACTGCTTAAAACAGCAAGAGCAGAGTCTGTCCTTCACCAACCCTTCTCATCTAACATGTCCAAATCTGTTCTCCCTCATATGAAGTTTGCAAAGACACACATGAATGAGTTTAATAATCAGAGATGCTTTATAAGCTCAGTTTGTACAATAGTCACATGAGATGAACCGCCACGCCATCGGCGAATGTACACGAGACTCATGTAGAGCTCGTATAAAGGATTTTTTTAAACATATACTCACTTATCATGCTATATGCACGGCTTTTCCCCCGCTCGTCTCGGTTAGTCCATTAACGAGCTGAAATAACTGAAGACACGCGAGTCCTTCAACAGTACTTTCACACACTTCAGTCTAACTTGGAGTGAGTTAGGATTTCTGATTGACAGCGGCAAGGGCCAGTGGCGGAGGAGGATATAAAACCCACAGCCGCGTCCACAAATAGCAGCCAACCAAATGGCCCCGTAGGCGGGACTTCAAGGTTTCCACTAGCGAGGTAGACTGTCTCTGTTGTAACTACTGTTAAATGTATTCAGTAATGTGTCATGCGTAATTCATGACGGGATTGTGTGTTAAATTAGATTATATAAGTACATACATTTAATTTAGAAATATTTGAAAAACTAAAAATGCATAGCCTACCTATAAGTCAAGTGATGGTGAAAATGTATACAAATAATAAAAAAAATAGCATTGCAGCTCCTTACAAATAATACTATAGTCAGGGGTGTAGCGTATGCAGGGTATGCACGTGATCGGAACCTCGGAGCGGGTTCGAGAATCATTCAGATCGGGGTTTCGGAGCGGGTTCCCGAATCATTCAGATCGGGGTTGCGGAGCGGGTTCCCGAATCATTCAGATCGGGGTTGCGGAGCGGGTTCCCGAATCATTCAGATCGGGGTTGCGGAGCGGGTTCCCGAATCATTCAGATCGGGGTTGCGGAGCGGGTTCCCGAATCATTCAGATCGGGGTTGCGGAGCGGGTTCCCGAATCATTCAGATCGGGGTTGCGGAGCGGGTTCCCGAATCATTCAGATCGGGGTTGCGGAGCGGGTTCCCGAATCATTCAGATCGGGGTTGCGGAGCGGGTTCCCGAATCATTCAGATCGGGGTTGCGGAGCGGGTTCCCGAATCATTCAGATCGGGGTTGCGGAGCGGGTTCCCGAATCATTCAGATCGGGGTTGCGGAGCGGGTTCCCGAATCATTCAGATCGGGGTTGCGGAGCGGGTTCCCGAATCATTCAGATCGGGGTTGCGGAGCGGGTTCCCGAATCATTCAGATCGGGGTTGCGGAGCGGGTTCCCGAATCATTCAGATCGGGGTTGCGGAGCGGGTTCCCGAATCATTCAGATCGGGGTTGCGGAGCGGGTTCCCGAATCATTCAGATCGGGGTTGCGGAGCGGGTTCCCGAATCATTCAGATCGGGGTTGCGGAGCGGGTTCCCGAATCATTCAGATCGGGGTTGCGGAGCGGGTTCCCGAATCATTCAGATCGGGGTTGCGGAGCGGGTTCCCGAATCATTCAGATCGGGGTTGCGGAGCGGGTTCCCGAATCATTCAGATCGGGGTTGCGGAGCGGGTTCCCGAATCATTCAGATCGGGGTTGCGGAGCGGGTTCCCGAATCATTCAGATCGGGGTTGCGGAGCGGGTTCCCGAATCATTCAGATCGGGGTTGCGGAGCGGGTTCCCGAATCATTCAGATCGGGGTTGCGGAGCGGGTTCCCGAATCATTCAGATCGGGGTTGCGGAGCGGGTTCCCGAATCATTCAGATCGGGGTTGCGGAGCGGGTTCCCGAATCATTCAGATCGGGGTTGCGGAGCGGGTTCCCGAATCATTCAGATCGGGGTTGCGGAGCGGGTTCCCGAATCATTCAGATCGGGGTTGCGGAGCGGGTTCCCGAATCATTCAGATCGGGGTTGCGGAGCGGGTTCCCGAATCATTCAGATCGGGGTTGCGGAGCGGGTTCCCGAATCATTCAGATCGGGGTTGCGGAGCGGGTTCCCGAATCATTCAGATCGGGGTTGCGGAGCGGGTTCCCGAATCATTCAGATCGGGGTTGCGGAGCGGGTTCCCGAATCATTCAGATCGGGGTTGCGGAGCGGGTTCCCGAATCATTCAGATCGGGGTTGCGGAGCGGGTTCCCGAATCATTCAGATCGGGGTTGCGGAGCGGGTTCCCGAATCATTCAGATCGGGGTTGCGGAGCGGGTTCCCGAATCATTCAGATCGGGGTTGCGGAGCGGGTTCCCGAATCATTCAGATCGGGGTTGCGGAGCGGGTTCCCGAATCATTCAGATCGGGGTTGCGGAGCGGGTTCCCGAATCATTCAGATCGGGGTTGCGGAGCGGGTTCCCGAATCATTCAGATCGGGGTTGCGGAGCGGGTTCCCGAATCATTCAGATCGGGGTTGCGGAGCGGGTTCCCGAATCATTCAGATCGGGGTTGCGGAGCGGGTTCCCGAATCATTCAGATCGGGGTTGCGGAGCGGGTTCCCGAATCATTCAGATCGGGGTTGCGGAGCGGGTTCCCGAATCATTCAGATCGGGGTTGCGGAGCGGGTTCCCGAATCATTCAGATCGGGGTTGCGGAGCGGGTTCCCGAATCATTCAGATCGGGGTTGCGGAGCGGGTTCCCGAATCATTCAGATCGGGGTTGCGGAGCGGGTTCCCGAATCATTCAGATCGGGGTTGCGGAGCGGGTTCCCGAATCATTCAGATCGGGGTTGCGGAGCGGGTTCCCGAATCATTCAGATCGGGGTTGCGGAGCGGGTTCCCGAATCATTCAGATCGGGGTTGCGGAGCGGGTTCCCGAATCATTCAGATCGGGGTTGCGGAGCGGGTTCCCGAATCATTCAGATCGGGGTTGCGGAGCGGGTTCCCGAATCATTCAGATCGGGGTTGCGGAGCGGGTTCCCGAATCATTCAGATCGGGGTTGCGGAGCGGGTTCCCGAATCATTCAGATCGGGGTTGCGGAGCGGGTTCCCGAATCATTCAGATCGGGGTTGCGGAGCGGGTTCCCGAATCATTCAGATCGGGGTTGCGGAGCGGGTTCCCGAATCATTCAGATCGGGGTTGCGGAGCGGGTTCCCGAATCATTCAGATCGGGGTTGCGGAGCGGGTTCCCGAATCATTCAGATCGGGGTTGCGGAGCGGGTTCCCGAATCATTCAGATCGGGGTTGCGGAGCGGGTTCCCGAATCATTCAGATCGGGGTTGCGGAGCGGGTTCCCGAATCATTCAGATCGGGGTTGCGGAGCGGGTTCCCGAATCATTCAGATCGGGGTTGCGGAGCGGGTTCCCGAATCATTCAGATCGGGGTTGCGGAGCGGGTTCCCGAATCATTCAGATCGGGGTTGCGGAGCGGGTTCCCGAATCATTCAGATCGGGGTTGCGGAGCGGGTTCCCGAATCATTCAGATCGGGGTTGCGGAGCGGGTTCCCGAATCATTCAGATCGGGGTTGCGGAGCGGGTTCCCGAATCATTCAGATCGGGGTTGCGGAGCGGGTTCCCGAATCATTCAGATCGGGGTTGCGGAGCGGGTTCCCGAATCATTCAGATCGGGGCTTCGGAGCGGGTTCCCGAATCATTCAGATCGGGGCTTCGGAGCGT